TTTTTTTTTTTTTTTTTTTGGGTCTTCGGTCTCAGATTCATTACCTCCTATTATCTCTTCACTCACTTTAAGCACATATTCTTAATTCTTTTCCACCCATTGTCCTCATCTCTCCACAAAACAACTCATTGCCATTTCAATTCTTTTTCATTGATTTCCACCAATAAAATTCAATTTTATTCAGCTGATCAATTCAGCCATTATCTTTGTTGCTCTCAATCTCATTTAATTCGATTGAAACTTAAGCTTTCTTATCTTTTACGCTTATAACTTCGGTTCATATTATAAATTTTTCTTATTAATTTAAATTCAAATTTCAAACATTATCTTTCAAATTTTTTTGCATAAATTCGTTTCAATAAATATTAATAAATGGCTAAACCCCACATTAAGCCCTGAACTTATCTTCGATTTTTTATTAAGTTTCTAAACTTTTATTGAAACAAATAAATTCTTGAATTTAGCGATTTGTGTAATTTAATCATTTTCCTTGTGATGCATTTAATGTCCATTTGTGCCTTATTTGCATGAACAAGATTAATATCCCTCGCGTAAATAATGATATATCAATACCTTATTTATGTAAATAAAGCACAAACGAATATTAAGTCCATTATAAAAAAAGAGGATTAAATTACCTAAATTATCAAATTTAAGGGTTTATTTACTTTAATAAAAGTTTAAGAGTTTAATAAAGAATCTTGAATAATTTTAAGGGTTTAATATACATTTTACCTTGACAAATTAAGGTTGTTGCATCTGGATATCTATCTAAGAAAATTAGTATTTATGCTAATAATTTAGATAGTTTAATAATATTTTTTTTAATGAAAGTAAGATATTTTAAATTTAAATCACATGATATACAAGTACAGTGAATTAAGAAATGTGAAAAAGTTATTTTTATTGTGCAATCCCAAAAAAAAAATGAACTAATATTTATTAAATATTGAATTTTCAGTATTTTTTTTTAATTTCAATTATCAATCAATACCTATCAATATACCACAATGCTTACCTATTAAATTTAAAAGGACTAAAACTTTACCAGTGATAGTATAACTAATTAATTTTTATTTTTAAAATTAAATTTTAAAATATGATTTTATATGAGATTTCATGATTAGCCAAAGAGAAAGATTAAATAAATTTAAATTAAAAATATCTCTTTTATCAATAAGACAAAACGAATCAAATTTAAACTTAAATCTAATTTAAATCTTATAACACAAAAAATTAGCCACCGACCACCATCAATAGTAGCTGTAGCAAGTCTAAAGAAGAGAGAAGGAGGGCATCTGAGCGGAAAGTCGGAGAAGCAGGGCCATGGCCACTCACCTATTGTGAAAAATACCGTTATTTTTGGAAGAATTTAAAGCAATTTACCACATGATCATGATCCATATTTCCAACGGAGGCGGACTTTGGAAATGTGTCTGTTGCCATACGATTTTTATGACTTTCATTTTCAGGAGTCTAACTCTTTGCAACTATCTTTAAAGTGACAAGGAAATATTGAAAGCAGTTGAAGAATTGCATTCTCTGAATTAATGCTACATCTCTTTAAAAAAAAACCCCACAAGCATCAAAACCCTCAAAAACCCAATTTATAAATATAAAATTACAAATACAAATACCAAGAAACTAACCAACATATGTCAGTATAAATCATAGTAATAGAATTAAATAAAATATTACCCACAGCTTTATTGGGAAAAATTAAAACTACAAGGAAAGTTATGAAAGCTTTTTTTTTTTTTTTTAAGTGTTGTTTAGTCAAATTGTATAACATAAACTATTGAATAATCTACCTCAAATTGGAAGCTTGTTCCATCCAATATTTCGAATAAGAATTATTTTGTAATTATCTTACTAATAAAAATCT